CAGAGCAGTATTAAATATTAAGGTCAGGAAGAAAATGGGTAGGGATGTGAAGACAGATCGGGCAATCTTAATGATTGGGGCCTAAATTGTGCTTTGCATTCACAAAGACCTAACCTTAGCAAATTTAGTGGCATGTCCTCTCAGAATACACCATTCTCTTATAAGGCAGAGTAGCTTTAACAAGTCTAAGCCATTTCTCAAAAAGTAAAAGGGTAGGTAGACGGCCAGCATAGTGCTATTGATTTACTAATTGAGAACAGAAATTGTGAAATAGCAACAGTCATGTAGAGATCAATGAAATGTTCACTTGTTATTCTAAGTAGGTAGAGGCTGGGGTCAAGAGGGACTGGGCAAACCATAAGATCATAGAAAAAAAAGTAAGTTGTTTTAAGTAAAATTCTATGTGTGACTGGAAGTTCCCAAAATAGATGTAGGTTCCAGGGAGCCACACTTAGGACAAGAGGAGGAGGTGGGATGAAATTTAGCCTCCTGGGAGTTAGATATGCTCAGTGGGGAAAGTGCAAGTCCGCGTAAGCCTTTCACTAACACGTGTGGAAACCTGTTTAGGGGCCTTTAGGGCTTCTTTGCAATTCTCTGCATCAAGAGACATAGGAAGGTTGGAGGGGAGAAACTGAGGAGAATAGTAAGCACTTTGGTAAGGGGGTACACGGCTGGATCCACAGTGGGAATGGACCACATCTGCACAAAGTTTTCATCACACAGATACAAGATTAAAGGAGAACTATGAGGTGAGTGCTTTTCACTCACCTCCTAGTTCTAGCCGACCTGTGACAATGAGACTGTCACAGGTCGGCTCAGTAGATCGGGAGGTGAGCGAACACATACCGGCGTTCGCTCAGCTCTCGATCCTGTCACGGCTCTCTGCCGTGACAGGGGGAGGGGCTGGATTCCCCGCTCCGATCCGCCAGCACTGACTGGTGGATCGGACGGGGGAGGGGGCGGGTATAGCCGGCTCTAGGCAGAGCCAGCTGTCAGTCACGCAGCTGGGCGGATCCCGGCACAATTGTCGGGATCCGATTCAGCTGTGGCGTCTCAGTATACCGCGAGCAGCAGCTCGCGGTATACTGAGCCTAGGGTGACGGGAGGACGCTAGTTTGTGTCCTCCCGTTACCCTGAGAACTATGGGGAAAATACTTAACCCCATAGTTCTCCTTTAAGAAGCGCTCAGGGAAGCAACAGCTTCCAAACTTCTTGGAGAAATAGTTGGAGGAGGAAATGCAAAGGGAAAATCTTTGTGGCGGCCTTAGAAGATTTAAACAACCCAAGCTCTAATCCTCTAGTTTCAGAGTGGTGCACCCTGCATTAATAAGAGCCAAAATAGTCTCCTTTCATTTGAGAGTAACTGCAGTAGACTGCAAATCCTCAGGGATGAGTTTATTAGTCAAGAACTGAAGCATCTCAGAATCTGCGGCTTAAAGGTCCAAATAATGCTAATACATAATCTGCTGGAGTGTGCACAGTAACGCGATTGTGGCCTCTGTGATTAGAGTCAGCAAATAACTTGGCGATTTGGGTCTTGCATGACTGTGGTAAAATCCTCAGCCGAGGCGGGGAGATGGTCCAGCCGCATATGATGGAGCCAATTATGTCTCTAAGGACAGAACAGACTCTTAGGGCAGATAGTAACATGATTCCAGGCTACAGAGCTTAGAAAGCAAGTGTTTAATAACTTTTAGGACAGAGGTGTGCGTGTTTTTCAAGCTAGTATTCAGTTTCTAATTTTTGATGAGACATTTGTCTTCAGGCAGCCTAAGAATATCAGGAGTGTGGTCCTATCTAGCCTCAGGCTCATGACCTGTTGTGCTATCAACGCCACTAATAGTTCTATCACTGGGCAGACCTATGACTACATAACCTAGGAAACCATCATGAGCTTGACATAATGAAATTTGCCACTGAAAGAATCATTCGGTCTTACCACCATCAGAGTCCGAGTCACGATCAGCTGTCCCCATGCTGTTCACGATATTCATTAGGTGAATGGCTGTCCAAGCAAAGGGCATGCGATACCGGCCTAGCCGGGAGCAGAACTGTTCCGCTTGGCCCCTCAGTTTGTCCACCTTTTCCTTATTCTGGGGATGAAAAGGAAAACAATTAGAAATAGATATGCAGTCAGACAGACTTGGAACTAACCACCACCTAACAGTCCCTATTTTCATAGTCTTACATGCGATGTCCTGTTACAAACAGTTGTGGAGGGTGTGTACACATGACTATGCAATCCATTAGGCACCAGAGTTAGACACAGTTTTGTGGGAGGACAATTGTAATGAGGGGTGTGTGGCTGTTACTCGGCTATGCTAGCACAGGGCATTGCAGTGTGAGGGCTGAAAGCATCAATGTTCACTAAAAAAAAAGGGTATTTTGAGGCATACCCAAGCAAAGATCAGTCACAAATCCTTACATTTATTAGGGAAAGGACTATAAAAGAGAAAAAAGTTGTGAGACTTCGACTGAGCTTTAACATTCCTGCTCTCCTTTTGTTAAAGTCTTTCTTGGAGTGCCCATACTTTGCCACGCACTACACAGACCTACAATAAATATTTTCTTACCTTGAGGCCATCACTTTCCTTTAAGACCATGTATGGCTCACAGCATTCTCCGATGTCTCCCTGCTGTAGAACCTTCTCCAGCTGAAAGAACACAGAAACCATTCATGTACATCACAAAGACACTAAACATACACACACACACAAACAAACAAAGGTGCACAGTGCAACATATACACATTACACAGTGATATCAATGTAAGGCAGATGGTATGGCCACGTTGGTACAAAGCTGAAGTGCCCATACACAGGAGGACTTTCTTCTTAGGCAATGTACACTGGGAAGCCTCAGGGTGCTAAAACCATATGTAATGTGGAAAGGAGAACTTTGTATTACTATTTATAATGGATGTACCAGTAGTATGGCAGAGCAAACCTAAGAACCAGTCCACTAAGAAAAACTTGGGCTTTCTTTGGCCATCCACCAAATTATCTTAATATGGGCAAAAATAATTAATGAGTAGAGCGTGCATTGGTGTGCAAAGGGCCAACATGCTAAAAGGACCTAGCATACAAATGTGGGTTACAAGTGGGACTAGCGAGCCCATCACATTAAATATGAAATTAAGTACCTGTTCATACCAAGACATGACCATATAATGTGGGGCTACTGCTAGTCTTTAATCCATATCCTACTATAGGGGCGCCCACAATTTTTCATCTGGAGATCTACTTTTCAAATGACAAGCTCAATAAGATCTACCAACGAAAAAACACCTGCATTCAGGGGCGGGAGGGGGCGTGACAGTGCATTGAAGTTAATGGCACTGCAGCCACGCCCCCACCCACAGTGAGATCTGCAAAAATGCTAATGTGCCTGCATTCCGGGTGCGGGCGATCGCACCACGTGGCTGTGGTGCCATTGGATTCAATGCACTGCCACGCCCCCTCCTGAGTGCAGGGAGCAGGCCGGCTTGCGTTCTAGAGGCGTTCGGCTCTGGAATGCAGTCTTTGTGATGTGAATCGGCTCTCTCTCTCTTGGCTGTCTCTTCTCTCACTTTCTCTGTTGTCTCTCTCCTGTCTGTCTTTTCTTACCTCCACTGCAGCAGCTTCCCAGGTCTCCTATCGTGCGCCGGCATCCAGTCCTCCCGTGGTGCTCGTGTGGCCGACGTTGCACCGCGGGATGACAGGACACAGATCAGTGAGCCAATCGCAATCTACCAGTATTCGCTTTGCGATCAAGTGGTAGATCGCGATCGACCTAATGGGCACCCCTGCCCTACTATAACTTCTCAGACCATTTCTGATCTTCTAGGGGAAGATAACAAGATAACAAGCTGCTTTAGCAAACGCAGGCATGGAGTATCATACAGGGAGATCCCAATCAGTCAAGTATCTTGGAAGGTCATGCCTCTCTAATGTGATCTGTAGATTAAGATATAGAGGCATCTAAATATATGCAAAGCTTGAATTTTCTTGTAACAACTGATATTGGCCACATTCTACTCTGCCTTCCCAAATTTATTATTGCAATGTGATAGACAGTCACAATATAATTTAAGATTTCAACAAAAACGTTTGCCTTCTGAATCTCTAGAATTATTTATCGGATGGTTTTCACGGATGGTGACCAATGTTTATGCAGTCAGTGGCCCCTGAATTTGTCGTGCCCTGATGAACATGTCTATGTATGGCCTGATGAACATGTCTATGTATGGCTTGTAAAGCTAGCGAAGTTAGGTATGTAACACACACATGGATATTACACAGAAAGCAGAACATGGCACCAACACTCCGTGTGGATGTGAATAAAGCACCTTGATGACGAGATATATGTCAGGAGATGGGTATGTGATGGAGAAGATGGCTGATCTTGCCAAGGTGGAGGGTGCTGAGTGTCCACCTGGTGCCCGCAGCATGTTCTTCACCGTGTCAGTATTCAGGTCGAAATGGAACGCTTCGGATATCTAGGAATCAAGAATACAGATGCAAAAACCTCAGGATTTTGTATGGGAGAGAGACAGGCTGTCAGATTTTTATTAAAGTCTAGCGTTAATCATCCCTAAATGCAAGGAGAACATTGTCTTTAGGACTGAAAATCCATTTTTTTTGTTCCAGGAATAGGAGGAAAGGGGACATTTTCCAATGGGCACACTTGTTCCTATGACATATATCTAGAAGATTTACCCCCCAACTTTGGAGAGGTTTCCTGGTTGGAGTATTAACCATTCCTTACTCTATCTCAAACTAAAAAAAAAAATGTTTGGGGGCATAGTTATCATTTAAAAGGATACACCTTCTCTTAAATGCAAATAGCCAAAAAGCGCATTATGTGACCGTAGCCCAATCTATAAAGCCTGCAGACGTGTTCAAGTCAGTTGTTCCACCAAACATTTGAATGTGGAGCATGTGTGACCGCTGAGTCATAATGCTGGTTGCAACATCTTCGCTCCTGGAATTCTCACAGACTACAGTCTCTATAGTTTACAAAGAATGGTGGGAAACCAAAAAATATCCAGAAAGATTCAGTTTTGTAGGTGAGGAACCTTCTTTACAACAGCTCAGAAGAAAATGCACAGATTTGTGCAAGCTAACAGAAGTCCACAACTGCTCAAACCACCGCAGTCATGTGTACAAGGCCTTCTGAGAACACCTTCAAGAGGACTGCACCGGAATCCCCTCCTGGCAGCCAAGAACAGAAAAATGAGGCCCTGGGACAGATCATCAACAAATTTAGGGAATTACGTGTGTTGCCTGATATTTCTTAGACCAGTATTGCCTGGTCTAAGAAATCGCACTGTAAGGTGCAGAGAGCAGGGTCAGAATTTGGCGCATACACCATGAAATCCTCTGGGATGAGGTAGGACGGATGGCTAAAAGCAGGAAATTCTGGCTAACAAATAAAGTTACCAAATTTAATAGATTAAATTAAATAGATAGGTAGGTAGCAAAAATAAAGGATGGATGGATAGATAGACAGAATGATAACATTTGGATAGAATAGATCAACTGATTGATGATTAATTGATTAGATAATAAGATAGATAGGTAGATAAATAGACGATAGATAGATAGATAGATAGATAGATAGATAGATAGATAGATAGATAGATAGATATACAGACAGAAAGAATGATGATTGATTGAATAGAAGACAGAATGGTAAAATTTGGATAGATAGAATTAATCAACTGATTGATGATTAATTGATTAGATAATAAGATAGGTAGATAAATAGATGATAGATAGATAGATGATTGATTAATTAATTAGAAAGAAAGGAAGATAAAATATAGATTGATTGATGACTGATTGATGATTGATAGATAGATAGATAGATAGATAGATAGATAGATAGATAGATAGATAGATAGATAGATAGATAGATAGATAGATAGGAATAAGACAAGGAGAACTAATCAACTCCGGGCATAGAGAAGTATGGACAGGGCAGTGGCAAAGCCTCTGTACATCATCCTCTCTAGTCCACTCTGCTATTACTTACTTTCCTCTTTTCTTTGGCATCATAAAGGGCCATAACACAAAATATTGGCTCGATTTCTATTTCAAACCTGAAAAAAAGGGACATTTTATTAAATTATAATAATGTTGCTCAATATTTTAAATCTGAACTGCAGGCAAACACCTCAATATGCAGTGTAAATACACATATGTGAATACATGAACAGACACATACACCCCTTTTAAAGCTAATCTACAGGCAGATATAACAGACACAAATTATTGCATCATCCTGCATATCCTCTACAGCAGAGCTCAGACTAGGAGAGGGGGAAGCAGCACAAGGACCCAGTCAGTTGTACTGTAGTGCTAAAAAGAACATGCTGACAGGAGGAGCAAGCAATATTACACAAATATAAGCTTATCAGATGCTTCTTCTTCCTCTCTGCCCAGCTGCAGTCTGGGGAGGAATAAGTGTTAAAAGGAGAACTATGGGATTAAGGCTTTTCCCCATAGTTCACCTTAGGGTAACGGGAGGACACAAACTAGCGTCCTCCGTCACCCTAGGCTCAGTATACCGCGAGCTGTAGCTCGCGGTATACTGATACGCCGCAGCTGAAGCGGATCCCGCCAATTATGTCTGGATCCGCCCAGCTGCGTGAGTGACAGCTGGCTCTGCCTATCTAGAGGCGGAATTAGCTGTACCCGCCCCCGTCCGCTCCGCCAGTCAGCGCTGGCGGATCGGAGCGGGGGGAATCCAGCCCCTCCCTTGTCACAGCAGAGAGCCGTGACAGGATCGAGAGGTGAGCGAACGCCGGTATGTGTTCGCTCACCTCCCGATCTACTGAGCCGACCTGTGACAGTCTCATTGTCGCAGGTCGGCTAGAACTATGACGTGAGTGAAAAGCACTCATCTCATAGTTCTCCTTTAACTAATTGCAACACAGAAAAATCAGGACAGACAGGGCTGTGCTGTATAAATCACAGAACTGGATAGACAAAAAAAATGATCCTGATTTTGCCACAGATTACAGTTGCTTCTGAAAAAGCAATGTACCCGCATGCACTACAAATTTCTGATTGCCTCTGAATGCTTAATGAAACCTAAAAGAGATATTTTTTTGAACAGGGATGTGAAATTAGCAGCAGTGTTATTAGGGGACACTGATGCACTTTTTCACATGTTTAAGGGCAGGTTGTATTATCATTCTTGAGAACTTAGTTGCAGTAAAAACACACAAGGCAGATCAAATGTCTCCGTGATCAAATCTCAGCATATGAAACAAATTAAAACAAAATCAATATAAAGAAAAATCATTCCACCGGGGTCAACCAAACGGGAGCCAGAAAAAGCAATCCACTAAAACAATGCTTACTTCAGTGATATGCATTTCACCAGGATCCTCTGACCAAAGTGCTCCTTGGGCACCTCAGGAAAGGTGGATCTCTCCACTGCTTCATCCTATGGAAAAAGAGAATTATGGCTATAGAGAAAAAAGTGATGGGTTACTGTAATATGATGTTACAGGGGTAATAAGACACTCAGGAGCCGGGTTACTGTAATATGATGTTACAGGGGTAATAAGACACTCAGGAGCCGGGTTACTGTAATATGATGTTACAGGGGTAATAAGACACTCAGGAGCCGGGTTAGTGTAATATGATGTTAAAGGGATAATAAGACACTCAGGAGCCGGGTTAGTGTAATATGATGTTAAAGGGATAATAAGACACTCAGGAGCCGGGTTATAGAATAGTGTCACCTCATCAGGAGCCGGATACAGAGCCAAGATATGATGGTGTCGGTTCTCTCTGCGCCGCTCCTCATTCATCTTGTCCACCTCTTCTGGTGGTGTCCTCTCCAGCAGACCTGGCAGTAATGGATCTTGAGCAGAGTTCTTCAGGTCAAATATACTAGAAGCCCAGCTGCCCCGGGGGGTCTCATCCATGGACACAGACGCTCTTTTTTTTTCCTCCTATTGATGCCGGCAAAAGAAAAATGAGAAATTGTGAAAGGGGTTTTCTACACCACTTGTACATTCACTACGATCTTGAATCTCTTGCACTCGAGTGCTGGTGTTTGGGGACTAGCACAGCGCTGTCACACAGGCACCAGAAGAGAGTTTGCAGTACTGGGACAATTGCCAGGTTCTGCTTAATGTGCTGACAAGGAACATGCTGACAGGTGGAGACAGCAGAGTGACACAGAGGGATGAGCTCATCTGTGGCACTGTGCTGCTACTGCGCCTTCACAGTCCAATCACAAGCTAGTGGACAAGTTCACTATCCCCAATAGAGTAAACTATAAAACCCATTTCAACCTCCCTCTGCCCCACCCCTTGGCAGGCCCTTATTTACCCCCTTCAATGGCTGCAGCCACCCACATTGTCAGCGATATGGCCTGCGTCCTCACCCCAATGTCCCTCAGATCTGAATAAGACCTGTACTGCAGGAGCAACAGCCCACTCAAGTCTTTGAGGCATTAGTGCAGGGGTGGGAAAACTCCAAACCTCCAGCTCTGGGTGAAATTAAAAAATCCGGTCATGCGTCTATCTTTGGGAGTCACGCCTGTGGCTGTGAGAATCTTGCAATGCTTCCTGGGATTTGTAGTTCCACAGCAACTGGAGGGCCGGAGTTTGCCCACCCCTGCATTAGCACAACGGTGCTGGCCGCCCACTAGAATTCTACTGACTTTAAAGGCAAGTCAGGTCGCCAACCTGGCTTTACTTCTGGCAGGGTTGTGTAAATCTCAGAACTGGATAGACAGAAATGCCAATCCCACAGCTGCTAGTTTTTGCCTAGGGTCAAAAAGAAACGTTATATACTCACCTGATCCTCCGAGCGGGCTTGCTCTTAGACTGCTCACTGGAGCCTCTCTACCACTCTGCTGCAGTGGTGTAAGGTCCCCGAGTCATCATGTTCTATACACAGTGGGGGGGATTTATCAAAACTGGAGCAGACAGAATCTGCAGCAGCTGTGCATGGCAAACGATCCGCTTCTCGCTTCAGTCTGTTCAGTTAAGATTTGAAAATGAGACAGAGAAGCCGATTGGTTGCCAGGCACAGCTGCTCCGGATTTTGCCTGCTCCAGTTTTGATAAATTCCATTCAGTGTATAGGACGTGAGGGACAAACCATCACTGCAGCGGAGGCGGGGACAGCCTGGAGGGAACGTGGTCACAGCCGGCCGGCTCGGAGCATGGGGTAAGTATAACTTTATTTTAGACACTAGGCAAAAACCAGCCCCACTGCGAGGGTTAATAAAGTGGAGTTCTACTTTAACATGCAATTACCTGCTCCTCGGGAGCCCCCCTCTCCTCTGAGGCCTCATCCAGCTCATACAGCTGCCGGTTCAGAGCTTTCTGCCGCTGTCGCTGGCGTTCGGCGGTGATGGGAGTGTACGCCGTGCTTAGTCGCTGAGACCTATTTACAGAACACCACAATGTTAATAAGGGACAACTGCACTTCAAGTGCCACTAGCATTTCAAAGAAGCGTAAGCTCCGCAAAAATAGCCCCGAGGCTCTCGATGGATTATAGGACATCTCCACTTTGGTCTGCTTTGTTTCTAATCTTGTACAATGTTTTCAGTCCTCCAATGACATACTGCAATGTAAACCATGCAACATAGCGCCTGTGATGCAAGGACGCCACCCAAGTGCAAGGACTGAAAAAGAAAAATTCCCTGCAAATATAGGCAACTGGGATTCCCAGCTCAGGTCCGTACTCCCAGACACTAGACCAAAAACTGAGAGTTGCCTCTAGCAGATGGGGGGTTTGGCCTCCATCAGTGGCCACCCCTAGGCTTTCGTTTTTTTGCCTAGTGTCCTACCCATGAAGGTGGTGCTATAAGCCAATTAGTTAGAGATTCCAGAACTGTGTCCTTTAGTGAAGGAAAGAGAAATATCTATATTTAAGGGGAGAGGGGAAACAAAACAAAAATATTCATAATAATGGGATGTAACCCATTCAGAATTTAAACTAGGGATGCACCGATACTAGTTTTTGGTATCGAGAATTAGTACCGATATCTTTTTTTTACCGGTACTTGCCGATACCGAATACCGATACTGGAAGCACCATTAAGGAAAGTGAGGGTACAATTCCCATAGGCTCACCAAAACTGGACAATAGAAGATTGGAAAACCATTGCCTAGTCTGCTGAGTCTCCATTTCAGCTGCGACATTCAGATGGTAAGGTCAGAATTTGTTGTAAACATGAAAGCATGGAACATCCTGCCTTGTATCAATGATTCAGGGTGGTGGTGGTGGTGGTGGTGGTGTGGGGGATATTTTCTTGGCACACTTTGGGCCCCTTAATGCCAAATGAGCATCATTTAAAAGCCACAGAATACCCGAGTATTGTTGCTGGCCATGTCCATCCCTTTATAAATACAAATCTTCTGATGGTTACTTCCAGCAGGATAATGCACGATGTCACAAAGCTCACGTCATCTCAAATTGGTTTCTTGAACATGACAATGAGTTCACTGTACTCCAATGGCCTCCACAGTCACCAGAGATCAATCCAATAGAGCACCTTTGAGATGTGGTGGCCCGGGAGATTCTCATCATGGATGTGCAGCCGACAAATCTGCAGCAACTGCGTGATGCTATCATGTCAATATGGACCAAACTCTCTAAGGAATGTTTCCATCAACTTGTTGAATCTATGTCACGAAGAATTAAGGCAGTTCCGAGGACAAAATGGTCCAACCCGATACTAGCAAGGTGAACCTAATAAAGTGTATTTTAAGTGACATCTTAGCTGCAAGCAAAAGAAACTTGCTTATATGGTGAAGTTATATCTCTATGTATGTATTAGTCGTGTACAATTTATAGGACAAATCATTACTTACCTCCTCTGTACAATCACCCAGTCATGGGTATAAACTTTTAGTGCATCACGGACCCGAGCATCCAGCTTCCTGTAACAGAAAACACACACTGATGGATACACTATTGCTAATGCCGGATGCGGTTTTTATCCTCTGATGGATTACAAGACGTACTGTATAGTCAAATTAACATTCATATTAACTAATCCTAATCAAATATTACTGTATGTTTCCTGCATGCTCTGTATGTTGCCTGCATGCCCTGTATGTTCTCTGCATGCCCTGTATGTTCTCTGCATGCCCTGTATGTTCTCTGCATGCCCTGTATGTTGCCTGCATGCCCTGTATGTTGCCTGCATGCCCTGTATGTTGCCTGCATGCCCTGTATGTTGTCTGCATGCCCTGTATGTTGTCTGCATGCCCTGTATGTTGTCTGCATGTTCTCTGTATGTTGCCTGCATGTTCTCTGCATGTTGCCTGCATGCCCTGTATGTTCTCTGCATGTCCTCTGCATGCCATGTATGTTGCCTGCATGTCCTGTATGTTGCCTGCATGTCCTGTATGTTCTCTGCATGCCCTTGTGTTAACATGTCTTACCCCTCCTCCGGAGCTGCTGGCTCCAGTGTGCGGCATTCTCTGGGCTCATATAAGACCTCAATGTCATCAGCGGGGAAGTCATACAGATCTCTGAGGACTTCGCAGTCAGACTCAGGGGGGTGGCAGGTGAGATACTCCTCGAAATCGAGTGGCTCAACCACGTCCGTCAGGGGGACCTGTAATGAGGAGAACACACAAGGATTAAAGGGGAAGTCATATAAAGCTTCTCCGTGCCTCGGTGTGTATTGAAGTGGACCTGTAATCAGATGTATTTGTGATGTGAAGTGCATGTCTGCAAAGTCATCTATTACAGAGATTACATTACTCCCCCTGGCAATGCCTCTGCTCATTTTATCAGAAGGACAGCGTCATCTTTGTTCAGGCATCATCCAGGGTCATCTACTTCCTGGGATGAGATGCTGGCTCAGTGGTCACACAGTCATGCAAACACTGGTGCCTGTGCAACACTTGGTTGTGTTCACAAATACATGATATAGACATGCTGCAGCCTCTAACCTTGTGCTTTGCTACAAAATTACATTGTACAGTCTGATCACCGTGGGAGAGGAGACTGAGGAAATGGTTCCTCCTGCCTGAAGCAGACTGATGACACCATCTCAGCATAGGCAAAGTCACTAGACTGGAGCTCAAGGATGATCTAAACTTTAAGTGATGGCCAGATTAAGATGAAGGCTTCCTTCTAAAGCATGTATGTTATAAAAGCTCAAATAAAAAGGGATTACCACTTGGCGACCCTGGCTCTACTTCCGAACCACAAAATCATACTCTCAGGCCAACCTTAGCAATTCTGGCTCCCCAACTTGAGGTGGTCTCTGAATATTAGGGATGCACCGATACTGTTTTTTCGGTATCGAGTACCGATATTTTTTTTCCGGTATTTTCGGTAATCGCCGATACTGAATACCGATACCAGAAGTCCCATTAAGGAAGCCAGGCAGCGTGTAAAGCCTCGCCATGCGGCTCTCCGATTAGCAGAGAAGCCGCCTCCATGCTTCTCATCACTAGATGACGAGAAAGCATAGAGCAGGCTTTCTTGCCAATCAGGAACCAAGGCGCCATGTAATGACACAGTGCCTGGCTTCCTGATTAGCCAGGAAGCTGTCTCCATGCTCCCTCGTCACGTTCCCGGCCAATCAGAAAGCTGGGCGCCTTGTCATTACACGTCGCCCGGCTTTCTTCCCGACCAATCAGGAAACCGGGCAGCGAATCATTACACGCTGCCCAGCTTCCTGATTGGCCGGAAAGCCGGCTCCATGCTCCCTCGTCACAATCAGGAAGCCCGGCAGCGTGTAATGACTCGCTGCCCAGCTTCCTGATACCGGAAGCTTGGGTATCGGGCTAGGGATAGTATCAGTGCATCCCTAATAGAGATTATATATATAGATTTATATAGATCTATATAAATGGGTAAGCCGTATTAGTCCAGTAGACAAGATGTCAAAAAAGTAATGCAGTATTGCAGTGTGCAATGATACCTTTCTTATTGGACTAACAAAATATATAAAAGACAAGCTTTCGAGAGTGAACCTCTCTTCTTCAGGTCAGAAGCAATACACAGCATACATACACATATACACATACATATACACACACATATGCCGTCTCCAATGGTTCGGTGCTTCACACCTGGGGGGGTGGAATCCTTTCCTGCTAACCTTTCTGCTCCCTATCTCCTCTTCTCTTCTTTCCCCCTCTCTTATCTCTTCCTCTCTCTTCCCCCTACTAACCTTCCTCTTCTCACTTTTACTAGGTATGTTATATTTCTTGTCTTCTCCTTGACCCCTGACTAGGGGTACTTAGATACTAGATTTCCGCCATCTATTATCTCCAGTTTGTTTAAGGAAATTCCAGTTTAATGCTACCTGAATGGTGGCGTACCAAAATGCTGACATTCTTGTTTCACTGGATTGTTCTTGATTATTGATCATTGGAATGTTCTGCTTTGGATGACTGTCCAGAGTATTTTTTTTTTGGCCTTTTGATTTATGTAACAGTTGGTTATCTTTATGTACTGTACCTATTGTTCTCAATAAAATAATTAAAAATAAATAAATAAAAAGGGATACTGATAAAGTAACCATCCTAAAATATATCTAACCAAAAACTTTTTTTTAGTTTAGAATAGAGAAGGAATTTGTTTTATACATTTGGCTTTGGCTAAGATCAAGTGTAGTATCTATTCTTATCAGTTTCTGGGGAAGAACGGTGAACAGGGGAGTGGCAGTCTAGTATTTCCTGAAGTAATAGGTGGGTGCTGGAGGGTTTTCCTTTCTTCGTGGGTTGATTCCAGCCTGGTGCAGCAGGCTTGTCCCCGGTTGTAGGCAAGAACATCTGGTGTTGTTGCCTTCTGTTAGGAATGGGGCTGCCCTTGTCCGCCCAGGGGCTGGAAGCACAAGGAGCTCCCGTTGATGTGCCCCCTGGGGATGGTGTCCAGTACCAGAAACACAATGGGTATGGGTCTCCACAGTGTGGCACCTGGCACTAGGTCACGTCACCATATTGTTTTCCTTGCACACTCTCCTTAGGCAGTCCCTCTGGCTAGTCTGGTGGAATTTTTATATCGTCTGCAAGGCCTGCTGTGTCTTGCACATGGCACCTCATTAATTTATAATACTTATTTTTTGCACAAGCACTTTAAACTCCACAGACTATGTAGGGTGCAGGTCTTTTGGGGGCATGCCCTTAAGTTAGGGGGAGGATCTGTAGTCATCGTGGGTCATTTTCCTTACCCCGCTCAGGGGTCTCTCTTCGGGAGAGCCCCTACCTAGTACTTGGAGGACCACCTTCGGCTGGTCCCTAAGGATCGGGGTCCACCTGGCTTAACCACAAGGTGGACTAGAGTGCCTTGCCACTGTCAGAAGCCTTGCAGCCCAGGGAATTTCCTGGAAGGGGACCAAGCACCCTCGTGCATTTTTTGTGTGCGGTGATTTCACTGTTAACTTTTTTTTTGTCCACCCGGGTTTTTGTTATGATGCATGCACCACAGAGCTTAAAAAAATAATAATTTTGTGGGGGCTGATACACGTGTAAGCCTGGGAAGGAGCACAACCATTAGACTGGGAGATTTGCGTGTATAGAAGCAGGCATACATTCCACAGAAGTGATTAAAAACCAACCACCATGCTGGTCGGGACATATGGAAACTCACTGATTGCTGACTTCCTCCTCGCTTCTTGGAAAGCTGTGGAGACCCTCCGTACTCTCTGGAGACCTGCTTCCGAACCTCTGAGGCCACCGTCCTAGAACAGAAACAAGAATGCCAAATTACGATTTTCATCTTGGCAACAATTCGTTAATGAGAGCCATTATATAAAGAAGAACTCTGCTAAGTGTACTTATATAAAATGGGCAACTGACGTGACCACCTCACACAGTCATCAGTGACTGTATTTTGGTTTCATGCGTACAAGTACCTCCATGTTGGGGGCCTGGGGGAGGCAGTGCCAAATTGTATGCTATAAAAGATACCAGCCTTAATTTTTATTAATTTAATGTCATTTATATATTTTTCAACATATGAAGACATTGTCAAGATCATTTTTATAGGACTCTTAAAGTCCCAACATTGTTTTTTTGATTGCAATTATCTAGCCCAGTGTTTCTCAAACACGGTTCAGTTGCGGCAGCCTTTAAAAGAATGAAAAATCTCGAGCCACCAGAGTCTAAAATATAATGGATTTTAGGGAGGGACATCACGCAAAAACACAAAAAAGTGGGATTCCCCCTTCACATCAGGAGTCTCCCCAATTCACATCAGAAGCCCCCCTTCACATCAGAAGGCCCATTTCACATCAGAAGCCCCCCTTCACATCAGAATCCTCATTACTCCCTTCACATTAGAGTCCTCAGTCACCCTTCATATTAGAGTCCTACCATCCCAAGATTTCGGGGCACCCCTGAGGAAGCCAGAAAGCACCCCAGGGTTCCACGGCACACTGGTTGAGAAAGGCTGATCTAACCCTTCCTCACTGCATCCAAAAAATATATAGTTCAGGCTGAAGTTCAACATTAAAGCATAACTCTAGCATACTCATTTTTATTTTAAAGTTTTCCCCTGTTGTATCTCCTTTCCGCCACAAGATGTCATCAGTCTGATGACCAGCAACATTTAGCCCACATCCTCTGAGCCCAGGTTGTCCTGGACCCGACGGCAGGCTGGACAGTGAAATGAGAAGCAGCACAGTGTTGAGCTCCTCTCATTTTTACTTCCTATCAGCATGCTCCTTCTGCTGCTTCTATGTTGCCTCTGCCAGCCCCGTTGAACAAGGAATCCAAGTGGCTGATACCAGGTCAAACTCCGGCACTTACCCTGCTTGCATTTCAAACATACATTTATTGATGTATTATTGATTACAGAGCTGCATTTATTTGTGTCTTTAGCTTTAAGTTCAGCTTTAAGCATTATAGTATTATCCACATGCCGTAGTAAAAATACAATAGCTTTCATAGCAGCCGTCCTTGTGGCTAGCTGTGGGGTATCAAGAGGGTAAAAGACGTACTTGAAAGTAGATGTAAACCCTACAACTAAATTCTCATATAAACATGTAAAAAGTAAATTCAAAAGTAACTTCCTTTTTTTGGCGACCCCGCCGTAAGATCCTTGGTCATGCACTTCCTGTAATATGGGGACAACACTGTCCCTGTATCCCAATTGTGCCCCCGCATTGTCACATGCCCTCCCAATGGAGATTATGAGCGCCCGTGCCGACACATATTGAACAAGCACGGTCTGCTGTTACCATCAGGAAACCCTTTCCGAGAAACGCCATGCAGCTGACACTGGAGTGCATGCTTGAGTGTTTTTCAGCGCTTTGATCAGCACTGAAAAAAACGCCCAGGTGTGAACCAGGCCTTAGGATGATTTAGAATGCCAATTGTGAGCCAGGTCTTCTCCTCCAATATACCTTTGGGATAAATTGGAACACTAAGCCAGGTCTTATACATCAAGACCTGACCTCACACACGCTTTTTTCGGCTGAATGGACACAAATTCAAACAGACACGCTCCAAAATCTTGTGGAAAGCCTTCCTAGAAGAGTAGAGGGCAACTCCATAATTTTGGATTGGATTGTGCAACAAGCTTCTATAGGTGTGTCCACAAACCTTTGGTCATATAGGGTAGCCGAGAGGTGGACAAGTTCATTTGGAATTTAGGAGCCAGTCTGTCCAATCAAGGAGACAGCAGGACTTTCATGGAGCCAGCTCCATTGACAACTCAAAAAACTTCAACAGTTAGGCACCAGCTATAAATTTTAAGGAGCATAGGCTACCTGGCTCCTGTGATTTGTCCAGCCCTGTGATAGCCAACTGTCCTTCATCTGGATGAACTGTTCATCGTTTGGTACCAAATCCATTGGTGTCACACACCCTTCTAATGGAGACTTTAAGTGGCCGTGCCAACACATACTGCACAAGCGTGTTCTGCCCTTGTTACCATCCGGAAACCCTTCCTGAAAAATGCAGCTGATGCTGGAGTGTATTTGGACAGGAAATTGCTGCAAAGAGGCTGCAGGAAGTCAGTAACACTGAGATGCAACAAATCATAAAAAATGAAACAGCATTATGATACGCACATGATAACAACAGCACTTATCGAAATTCAACTCTGCTTTCCCTTTTAGTGCAGGTAGCATTATAGAAATGGGGAACAATGACTCCCGCCGTGCCTGACGCACACAACCAGAGGACGCCCGCGCGCTCGCTAAGCCGTCATGATCCACTGACACGGTTCCAGTTATTATCCCCGGAGAGGAAACGTGTATAAAGAGCTGTGGAAAGTATGGTACTATAAAAGAGGATTTGATGCCATTATAGTCCTCGGCCCTGCAGGGCTTATCTGCTATTGTCAGGAAGTGAGCTGCATTGACAGGCTAGACACAAGAGGCGGGGGTGACCCGGGAGGCAGCAATCCGTCACCCCGCACAATCTCTGCAGCCAGCTACAGCAATGACAACGCATGCTGAAATATAAATAAAGTGATTTGTAAAAGGAGAATTAGATGTTCCAGGTTTGCACGCTTTCATTGATATATGAATAAATGGCACCGAGCACTTTAGCCATCATATATCTGTGACATGAACGTAATGCAATGATTAGGTTAGCAGCATACGCACATAAAAATCAACAAAATAGGATGGCATGCAATAGAAGGCCCACAATATATGGAGGCCCCAACACCAAAATATGATTCATTTCTTTACAGATATATCAAGACCTGGATGAATGAAAACCTTCACAGACACCAAATTATTAAGTTCATATGTTTCCAGTGAAGGGCACTGTTAATAGCACAGCCTGCAAAGACATTGTAGACAATGGTGGACTTCCAACCTTTGGGGCAGACCCTTTGTCTTCCCTTATGCCTCTGTGTACAAAGCCAACTCAATAAAGACATGGTTTGATGTGAAGGAACTCAAGCGGCATTCAAAGAGCACTGACCTCAAGCCTACTGAACACTGTCTGGGTTCACACCTGGGCGTTCCAAATAGGCTCGTTTTTAGCATGTTTTTTTGTTCACTGAAACGCGCGTTCGACGCTGGCGGTATGATTAAAAAAAAAATGTTTTCCTTTTTTTCTCTATCTTTTTTTAACTTGTTAAACTTCCCGCCGGTTCCGCCCCCCTGCGATGCGGAGGCTTGCAAGGGACAGAACCCGGAAGACAGCAGCGGGGAAGACAGCAGTGAGGACACAGCGGGGATCGGGGACAAGGTAAGACCTACGCTGTATTCCCGAGTGTGGCTCGGGGTTACCGCTTTGTTAACCCCGAGCCACACTCTGGAATACCAATGAATATGCACCAAAAGAAGTTCCTGTACTAGTTCGGGCGTTGTTCAGCGCGTCAAAACGCTTAAATAGGCCCAGGTGGGAACCATGCCCATAGGAAATTGTGGGATTTCACTGCTTGAGCGTTTCTCAGCGCTTTGATCAGCATTGAAAAAAACGCCCAGGTGTGAACCAGGCTTTAGGATGACTTAGAATGCCAATTGTGAGCCAGGTCTTCTCCTCCAATATACCTTTGGGATAAATTGGAACACTAAGCCAGGTCTTATACATCAAGACCTGACCTCACACACGCTTTTTTCGGCTGAATGGACACAAATTCAAACAGACACGCTCCAAAATCTTGTGGAAAGCCTTCCTAGAAGAGTAGAGGGCAACTCCATAATTTTGGATTGGATTGTGCAACAAGCTTCTATAGGTGTGTCCACAAACCTTTGGTCATATAGGGTAGCCGAGAGGTGGACAAGTTCATTTGGAATTTAGGAGCCAGTCTGTCCAATCAAGGAGACAGCAGGACTTTCATGGAGCCAGCTCCATTGACAACTCAAAAAACTTCAACAGTTAGGCACCAGCTATAAATTTTAAGGAGCATAGGCTACCTGGCTCCTGTGATTTGTCCAGCCCTGTGACAGCCAACTGTCCTTCATCTCGATGAACTGTTCCCCGTTTGGAACCAAATCCATTGGTTTCCTTGTTTTCTCAATTGTGCCTATTGTTGGTCTGTTGTATAGATTTTATTATTTAAATTTCAACTCCTGGTAACATCACATTCATAGTTTTAGAGGTATTACTAAATGTCTACCTCTGCAGTGTAGTGCGTTAATCTCGGATTTCTTCAAAAATCTTGAGAAGAATTATTTAGGCTTCACCAGACAGTACAATTCTCAGGCCCACACCAACATCAGCACTGTACGTATGATAGACACCAACGTTGGGTGCAAAGAACCTACAAGGCACTATGAAACAACTTGGATGGAGTTCTATCTGCAGCTTTTTTCTGCACAGAAATCTACTTTATTGCATCGGAAAGCAATTAGCCAAATCACCCCAAATTCCAGGTGCTTCATGTAGGTGAGGGTAACATCACTGGGTCTGCCCTTGGAAAAACAGAGGATCCCAAATAGTGGAAGAATCCTGCACAGTAAACTCTTACATTGTCCCTTGGATCGCCACCTTCGCTGAACACCACCCAGTACAGTTTTAAAGTTCATGATTAATACTTAATAATTGTTTGGAGTGTGGTTATAAATCACAGATAATATGAGAACTACTTCCATATGTAATCTCTCCACAATCACAGAAAAAAAAGAATAGTAGAACAAATTACTTTTAAAATAACATTAAAGGATAAGTGCACTTATTGGATTTTTGTCCTCCACCCCTGGACCTAAACGATCCCATCATCCCCCTCCGCAGATCTGTTCTTACTGAGATCCAACAGGCACAGTTCCTCTATTATGTACATCCATCACCTTAATGCTCCCTCTACTGGCCATG